TTGCCGAGGCATCATCTTTGTGTGGTTAAATCTTCAAAGTCAAACCGTCACGCCTCTTGGAGTGACCACATGATTCAGGAAAGAACGAAGTTCTGCTTTTGAAAGAGGAGATGTTTTTTACACGCGCCTCAGATGGTGAGATAAAAGTCGTCTTTATCTTATATTAGATTGTAACAAACTGTTACGGCCTTTTAAAAACACCAGATGTGATCAGAGCATTTCATTCATGCTGAGTCTAATAATAAATAAAGAAACCTTGTGACTCTTACTTACAAATGTGCACAAAGAGAGGAAGAGTCTTCAGTCCACTGAGAGCTGAATGGGATTAAGATTGACAAAGGGCCCAGAGGATCTTTGAGGAGTGTCCTAGATTTCCTCTCTGCTTCATGCAGCAGTCATCTTTTGTTCCCGGGAATCCGCCTTGGACCACACACGCATGTGCACACCAACACACACACACACACACACACACATCAAATCAACCACTTGCCACTCTGCTTTTATTAGTAACCTCACTTCCTCGGGGCAAGGCCGTTATTTTTTTCTGTTTTGTTTTCCTCCTGCTGGCTCTGAGTTTATTATCTGCTGCAGAGTCAAAACCAGTATAACTGTGGTCTGAAATCAAGGCTGTGGGCGGGGCTTACTTGTATCCATGTACACACACACACACACACACACACACACCACACACACACAAATGGACAACTTGCGTCAGTGAAGTGGAGTTAAAAAAACAACACATCATGACAAGTGAATCAAGCAGGTTCAGTGCGCGATGTTAAGTGGTTAACCAGATTTGCGGTTAAGGTGGTTATTAACAGCCAATGAATGAGCAGAAAAGGTGTTGACTAACCGGTGTTTTCTCCCCAGTTGGCTTACCTCAGGGAGCAGAGCAGCCAGAAGAGAGGGCTGGCGGATGGAACGAGCGAGGTCAACCACAACTCTGAAAACACGCCGAGCACTAACGGCAAGGTACGCTCGCCGTGTGTGTAACAAGTGTCAAGCATCTGTTCACATAAAGGATTTAAAAATAATGTCTATGATGGAGGATATATGCTGTTTTATTTACTCTTATATTATCACATGTTGTAAAGGGAATGCTGTGTACAGTCAATAAGCTTTAAGCTGGCGACTGACGAGACACTTTGCAAATCTTAACTGATTTTAAAAACATGGAGGGCACAGACATGAGGACAGTTTCAAGTGATTTTTTAACATTTTTAATCCTCGAATGCACAAACTAGAGGACTCGGCCAGACCACGACCACACATTTGCTGTTTGTAGAAATGATTCCACAGACACGAGATCTCACAGAAACTCGCTTGATCAAACGTGACTTCAGAAGAAAAACAAACATGGAGGATGATAGACCTGGTCAGCTGGCTGTCCTGCTGTGTGTTTTGCAATAAAGAAAAACAATACGGATGAACTCTGACAAGACAGAGTATGTGCAGCTTTATATAATTTGCAGATATTGCAGAATATCAAACATGTCAACAAGAGCGATCTCTGACTCGATCTGGAGCAGTAAAATAGTCACTTGAGGGTTATTAGGACAGAAAATCTGATACAATAAGCCTTTAATCAGGCCACGCCCCCCAAGGCGTTGTGGGGAGCATATCATGCCCAAAACCATCCAGAATGTGTGGTCAGCTTAAGATGTAAACTTCAATCCTGCATTAGTGCTTTCTCTATTTCCCTCCTGTCTTCCATTTATTGAGGACACTTGAACCTTTCTGCTCCGGCATGTTATGATTAGCTGTGCCTTACTCTGCCCTCTGCATACATGCACAGACAAGATGCAAATAGGTGAAGAGGAGGAGGGAGGGCTGGAAACAGTCCAGGTTCCTGCTCGCTGACAGCGGGACCTGCAGTGCGTCTCTGCTTAAGATAATAAGACATCAATCAGTCAGCGCAGGAGGAACAGCTTAGACGTAGCTGCTTTATTACGGGACTGATAGCGTAGGTATAACGGGCTTGATCGTGATGCAAAATGACATCACGCCAACGGGGGTGACGTCAAGTTAATGAGATGTTTGAGGTGAACAGCTTAGATCAGAGGGAACACTTCATGAACAACAAAGAAACTAAAGAATTCATTGATGAAGAAATGTGGTCTGTGCCAAGATAATTTAGTCCTGAAACATCAAAAAAGAGGAGAGAGATGTGGAACAAACAGCTAGAGACGATGTCCTCAAATGTCTTATTTTGATTCAGTTTACAGTCCGTCACCTACACAGATCAGCAGACGAGATCTCTTCCTCCTTTCTTGCTTGTTGATGCATGAGGTCTCCTCTTGCCGAAGTCCTCTCTGCAGTTGACAAAGTGTCTTAGTTTGTATTTTTGCAGACTTCAATGTTATATCTGGAGTGTTTTTAGATATTTGTGTATTTCATACATCTTGAAGGTTTCTACGTCTATGAAACATAATGACCTGTTAAGGTTTTGAAATTGGGTCATGAGTAAAGTGCATAATGTCTGTGTTTTGGAGCTTCTTAAGTATCAAACTTAATTAAAGTTAAATAATAATGTCTTGGATCTCACCGGGACGCTTTGTAGCCACTAGCAGGATTGTTTCAATTTGGTCAAAGAGTTAAACTAAGAGTTTATTTGTGTTTTTATTTGACTGATGTTAAATGAATCCTCTCTGTGCATTCTTTAACTTCATGTGTGAATTCCCCTGTAGCGTTCCTCGGACGGTTCCCTGAGTCAGGACGAGGAGTCGGGACTCGGGTTCGGGAAGGTCGGTGAGCTGCAGGATGTGGTGGAGCGTCAGACGGCCGATCTCGGCCAGATGAAGGAGCGCATGGCTGCCATGGTCTCACGCATCAACGAGCTGGAGGAGGACCTGGACACGGCCAGGAAGGACCTCATCAAGTCTGAAGACGTGAACACGCGGTTACAGAGAGACCTGAGAGAGGTGGGTGTGTCGTCTGCTTTGTTGTCTTCATCAAAGTGACGAGACTGATGAAGAGACTAGAACGATGCTTTACAACGTCCCCTCTTTGTTGTGTTAGCATCCAGTGAACCTTACCATTGTTACGTTTCTCAGTGGGGCTAAAGTAAGAGGACAGACTGTCAGGGTCAAGGTCACACTGATACCATATACACTAATGTAAATGTTGCTCTGTGTGTGTGTGTGTGCGTGTAGTCGATGGCTCAGAAGGAGGACATGGAGGAGAGGATCACCACCCTGGAGAAGCGTTACCTGGCAGCTCAGCGGGAGGCTACCTCCGTCCACGACCTCAACGACAAGCTGGAGAACGAAGTGGCCAACAAGGATTCTCTCTTCAGACAAGTACGCCCCCTTTGACTCTTTCATAGAATCACTGTCGACGTCCACACCTGTGTACAATTCACCTCCAATATCCACGCTGCAGCTGTGTCTTTAAGCAACCAAGAAGGAGATGTTGGGAGACGTTTGCTGACCCTGTTTTTATTTAAAAACGACCCCTGAGATGTGTTTTGGAAATCATGACACAGATGTCCTCTTCAGTTTCCTTTTATGATCTCATATTTCATAAAGTCTCCTTCCCTGATGAATCACGCCCCGATCACTTGACCAGTTTCTGCAGGAGAATAAACACCAACAACACTCAGCTCTGACCAGCACCACTTCATTCTGAATCAATCTATTAAAACAAACTGATATCTGCCTAATATGCAGAACAGCTGACGAGAACGCCGTTAAAAAGCGCACAGTTGTTCAGTTGTTTCCGCCGAGTAGAGAGCGTTTTAAGCCGCAGGCGGCCACCTGCCCAGCATCTTCTTTGTGCACCCACTCCGAGCGCTTCGAGTTGAAAAATGTTCAACTTTTCAGAAAGGCGCTGTTGACGTCTCTAGCACTGCAGTTTTTCCTCCTACAGATCGTGTCTTGTCCCCACATCCTCCTCGCTCCGTGTCTGATCGGCTTAAAACGATCTCAAATATAAAACATGCAGTAAAAAGTAACGAAGCAGTGACGGTCGTACAGCGGCCGTTATCGACAGACTGTTGTCATAGAGACAGGACGGCCGTGCAGCACTTTTATTCTCAGTGTACGCGTCATGCAAACACTCCTGAGTGCACAGTCAGCAATTTCCGGCCTGGAAAAAATGCCAGGTGGGACACGGTGCCTTATTGCTTACCTGAATAATTGCTAGGGCTAAAAATTCCTCAGACTATATTGTTGTCGTCGTCGTCGTTGTGCAATGAAGCTCAGCTTTTTTTAAAGCCTTAAAATCTTGAAAAAATGAAATCATTGCACCACTTTGGAAACCCCAATTAGTCCCAATTTTTTTGGTTTGCTATTTAGATTTACTGCTATGATGAGTTACCAACTTCAGCAGGAGTTGTGCTATTTTCTGGTGATTCCTGCGTCCGGTGGTGTTATCAGCCCTACAAGGAGCGCTGCTGGCCGTTTTGGCTGACAACACCAGTGCATGTTTAGTGTGTTGGTGTTTGTGCGCCCCCTGTCCCCCATCAACAGTATAGGACTTAACAGTGTTTACGCTGGCACACGCATGAGAAGTTTTTGGAGGGTCATGTATTAGACTGTTCAGGCTTCTAACTGTGGATGGAGAGAAACGGATCCAGAGGGGCGCAAAGAGTATGCTGTCATGCTCAAACGTGGATTGGATGAGTCCTGGTTGATTTTGGCGTGGGAGTCTCAGCGTTGGTCTGCCAGCAGGAGTCGTCTGCAGTTCTGGTTGCCAGTTTCCAAACCCCTGCTAATGAATTCCTGCTGTATTCACGCTCTGACCGGCGCAGCGGGCTGTGAATGGGACGCCTCAAAGACACTGGCTTGTTTCTATACATGTACTCGCTCAGATGGAGATGTCACTCTCTTCTTTCTCATGGGGGTTTTTGTCACTCTTTGTGTCAATATGAATGCTCTCATCCTAACTTCCTGGATACCCCACCCTTGCACATCCCCTCTCCCTTTGTCTCTCCCCGACCAAATGCACAAGTCCTCGCCTTTCTCTGTTTCTCTCTTAACCTTGGTGAGCTCCAAACGAAGTATGCAGCACAGACACGTCTTTAACCATCACGCTAACGACTGTTTGCTCTTGGGTTTTGTTTGTTTTTTAGACCGAGGACAGAAACCGGCAGCTCCAAGAGAAACTGGAGCTGGCTGAGCAGAAGCTGCAGCAGACCATCCGCAAGGCCGAGACTCTGCCTGAGGTGGAGGCCGAGCTAGCCCAGAGGGTAGCTGCTCTCACCAAGGTAAAAGCACCTGTCCTCTCCCACCTCTGTTCTCAAACCCACATTTTACTTTCAGGATTCTATGAAACAGATTCAAAAGTGAGCCGGAGTACTTCCCTTACATCCGAACAACCTCGAGCTCCCCGCGGAAGCTGCTGAGGAGGCCATTGTTTGTGTTGCTCCAAATATCCACAGGGACCTATTTTTAGAGGTCTGCCTCATGTTTTTATCCATTTATAGTTTGAGTCTTTGTCTTGGACAACACGCTGCCGCTGAACCTACACGGGCAATTCAACGCCTTATTAGTATTGGAACTGGCTCGCAGTGCAACTTGTTTGAGTTACCTCCCTGATGAATTCTCATTATTGCACAGATTCTCCCACCTCTTTCATCCTCCCTTTGATGTAACATGCATGTGCATATCATCTTCTTGTCTACCTGTTCCACGCTGAGTTATGTCTATGATGTCATGCTCTGTCCGTTATCTGTCTCCACTCATTACATTGAATTGTGCAGATGTGTTTTCACCTCCGTCTCACATCTGTCTGTCTCTCTGTCATGCTCTGTTTCAAAACCGTAGTGTGTTCTGTGTGGCTCTAAAGGCACTAAGACTCTGAAGAAGGTAGATCGGTTCTACTCACCCAGATAAACTTGTCCTCCAGGAAACTAGAAAGACTCTCACTCCTCTCTTAGTCCGTCACTGAAACACAACCAGGCTGATAGACCGTGACGTCAGTATTCACAACAAACAGGATGTAAATAAAGTGAATCTTTACATTCCTGGTTAAGTCAGTGGCAGACTAAAGACATGTTGACCTGACCTCCTCTCTCTGTCTGTGTGTGTGTGTGTGTGTGTGTGTGTGTGTGGCTTCATGTGCTGGTGAGCTTTCCGTTCTTGTTCGGTATCTAACACAAACAGGAAGTGCCAGCTGATTTGTTCAAAGACGTGCGGAGACCCCGCCCGTTAGAGGCACTAAAACTGGAACAGGCTGTGCACCAGGAAAAAATGTTAACATCTCTTCCATAGATAAGAAGCAATAAGCTGGTTACACACACTGATTGTGTTTTCACCACACCAGGAAATATTAAAGTAACTGTTCTTTCACGAGGCACTGATGATTATTAAGGCCTGTAGCGGTGGTAGATTTGCATTCTGGGAAATCCGGGCTGTTGTGTTTGGTTTAGTCTTTCTGTGGAGTTATAATCGCTTCATCCTTCTGTAGCTGCTGTAGCTTCTCGCCCTCTAGTGAGTAGTTTATGTATACGTAGACACTTTCTTTAAAAGCTCTTCAGGTTGTTTTGACCCCCATCCTTTTTGAAGGGCTAAAACCTCAAACGGGGTCGAGCTCAGGCCGCTCCTCAGCGAGCTCCTTCTCCAGGATGGATGACAAAACACCTGAAGGGGGGGAAGAGCAGAGTCCAGCACTTAGCGACGCTTTCATTAGAGGATTGTGTTACCTTGCACTCTTTGATACCTTAGTGCAGAAAAGATGTAAGTGTCTCCTTTTATTTTTCTCCGTCTTCAGGCGGAGGAACGTCATGGCAACGTGGAGGAGAGGCTGAGGCAGCTGGAGGCCCAGCTGGAGGAGAAGAACCAGGAGCTGCTCAGGGTGAGAAATCTGCCGTCGCCTCTTATCACCTGCTTCTAATTCATCGTCCTGATGACGGGGTGGCACTGATCATCTCTGGTGGCAATGTTTTTATATTCCCAGGCCCCTTCTGTGGCCTCTTAGCGATGTGTTTCAGAGCAACATATTGTTAGCATTACGCCAAGCGACAGTCGGCCTTGATTACTGCTACACTCAAAACGTTTTATTATCTAATTTCTGGTCAAAAAAAAAAAAATGAAATCAGGCTTGTTTTAATCCAGATTTCCAAATCTCAAGTCCGTACCAGGACTTGAACCAGCAACCCTCCAGTCAGAGAGTAAAGGCCCAATTTCCTCAAAGCAACTGATCCTGAACATTGGCACAGGGACACACACACACACACACACACACACACACACACACACACACACACAGACACACACACACACACACACACACACACAAAGGGGATGGGTGTGAAAACAAGCAGAAAATCAATTCTGTTCCGAAATAAACAATGACGGACAAAAAACTGACTCAGTTTGCGAAGGCCTTAAGCATGACAGGTGCTGACAGAAAGTGACCAGAGGCAGAGCACAACATCATCATCTGAATGTGGAGGAAGAGATATTAATGACGAGAAATTAGACAAACACGTTCGCTTTAATTTGAGTTTCTGCAACGCCGTTCTTTGTTGTCAGTTTAGCGTCTCTGGAGCTTCACTGCTATAGACACATTAATAACTCCTCTGCCTTCTTCTTCTTCTTCTTCGATCTGTGCAGGCGCGGCAGAGAGAGAAGATGAACGAGGAGCACAACAAGCGTCTGTCGGAGACGGTGGACAAACTCCTTTCAGAGTCGAACGAGAGGCTTCAGCTTCACCTCAAAGAGAGGATGTCCGCTCTGGAGGATAAGGTGAAGAATGCATGAATGATGAGCCGCGTTGACGTCATGTTTCGTCTGCAACAATAGATGTTTATTGTTCCTCCACTGTGTGTGTGTGTGTCTCATGACTCTTAGTATGAGATCGCAGTTTATTTCCCAGTCACGCTTTATTTACCAGCTCGTTGTTGTGTCTTCACAGAACTCTCTGATCAGAGAATTGGATCACACCAAGAAGCTGATTGAGGAGTCTCACCATGAGAAGGTAACAACATACGACTTCCATTTAACGCTTCACTGAACTCTCAACGACGCTTTACAAAGAACAACAACTAAACCAAACAAAGAAGAAATAATGTAAGAGGTCGAGGATGAGAGGAGAGTTTGTTCATGGTTGTAGGTGATGTTGAAGAGAGAGAGTGAAGGGGGGGGGGGGGTCTCTGATGGATTTTGGGAGTGCTGAGGGTGGGAGCAGCATTGGAGGAAGCCCTGCCCCCCCCAGGACAGATAGTTAGTCCAGCAGGATGGGGGGGAGGCAGGCGGTTTGTGTCTGCAGACCTCGGAGCGAGAGTGTGCCGGTGGAGGAGCTCACACAGGTCGGGGGTGTGCCAGCATGTTTCAGCCATGTTGGCATGTTTTGATGAGTCTGTATAAGGCTTTTTAAATAACTCCCCCCCCCCCCCCCCCCCTTCAGGACCTCAGACCTCTTCCATAGCTTCTGAGTTAGATCCCATCACCAATGAGCAGCAGAGGGACACATTCTTATCACACCCATGCAGCACTCCATGCATCTGCTTTTTGAGCTACAGTCCGTCTTTCTCCCCCGAATGTTCACTGTGTCTGTAAATTCTTTCGTACAGGAGCAGCTCCTGATCCAGATCGAGACCATGAGGGCCGAGAGCGAGCAGGGGAGGAGCCGGAGTAACTCCTTACTACACGGGTAAGTCAGTTCACTCTCACACTTCATGCTTTAAACCTTTGGACCTCTCTGACTCTTTCTGATTGTGTGTGTGTGTGTGTGTCTTTGCAGACGCTCTCAGCTGGGCAGCACTCCAGATTTCAGGTATCCGGTGTCGGCCTCCTCCATGATGGACAGTAACTCGGACCACTACGGCAGCGCTCTGGTGCTGAGGCGGCCTCAGAAGGGACGCATGGCAGCGCTCCGGGACGAGCCATCCAAGGTGAGCTCTGTCTTAACAACTGAACTTCCACCTGTTCAGAGTTTAACGAGGGGACTTAATTATTCCTGTGAGATGTTTATTGCCATGAAAATGAAAAATATTGTGATAAATTGAATTCACTTTGTGCGTTGTATCTGTGTGAGCGCCCTTTGAACTTCTCTGCCTGCTTCATTCTGATGTTTGTGTTCTTTCTGATGATGTTCTTCCTCTTCGTTTCTCTCTGTCTGCTTCCACTCTGGACATCAGCGACATGTAAGTCAGTGTGAAGATAATAGTGACCGTTAACCTGAACATGTGTCATGCAGTAAAGAAAAAAAAAAAAAAGCCTTCCCGCCTGCTTTTCTGTCTTTTGATCCTTTTTTTGGTCTGCTTTTAATATCTACTGTACAATCTGGAATATAAGTCGCACCGGTATATAAGGACGTTTACGCATTAGAACCCCCTCCCCAGAAGTAACCATGGCAACCACTCAAGTCCATCCTGCTAACTGTGGATGTTTTTGTTATTTCTGAGACACCAACAACGACCCTCTTCCTACTTCAACATTCGTCATAACGCGGTCCACTTCCTAGTTTGAGCACGGACCGTACTAGAATATGAATGAATATGAATCTTGAATCAGAATCAGTTTCCCAGAGAGGAAAGAGGTTTAAACTTTCTTTCTGCTTATTGATTGAACGTGCAATTTCTGTGCAGCTGGGTCTTTTAGTAACGCCTATTTTTGTTTTGTGGGATTTGCTTTCCTACTAGCTACAGTACGCTAGTCCAGATCTCAGTCCTTTGTTGATAGGTGGGAAGTACAGACCGCCCGTGAGTATCTCTACCCATTGAACATTCCACCACCGTTTGCGTTAAACGAACCTTCTGACCTTACGTGGGAGAAACGTTGTTAAAAAGTGGCGCCCCTAGACTGCTCTGCACCGCTACATATCATATAGCACAGCTTGTAATAAACACTGGCTGGGCGTCAGGTTGTGTGGAAATGTGCGATGATGGTGGCTGCATACGGGGTAAATGAAGGACGTGTTTCAGGCGTTCATAGAGGTAGACTGACGATGCAGACTACGTTTTAGATTTTAAAAAAGTGCGTCTTGTAGACCAGATTTTACAGTATTGTACTGTCTGAATTCTTCTGGTTTCTTTACATTTCTCAATCCTTTTTCCACTTCCTGTTTCCTGTTTGGTACCTGCATGGATGAATCCAGGTGCAGACTTTGAACGAGCAGGAGTGGGAGCGCATGCAGCAGGCCAACGTGCTGGCCAACGTGGCCCAGGCCTTTGAGAGTGACATGGACGCCTCGGACCTGGAGGAGGATCGAGAGACCATCTTCAGCTCGGTGGACCTGCTGTCCCCCGGTGGCCAGGCGGACGCACAGACCCTCGCCTTAATGCTGCAGGAGCAGCTGGACGCCATCAACAATGAAATAAGGTATCAGCGGCTACACGTCTACCAGAACAAACCCATCGTTTATTTGTTAGTTAACTTTTTCTCTGTGAACACGTTTACCAGGATGATCCAAGAGGAGAAGGAGAGCACCGCCATCCGTGCGGAGGAGATTGAGTGCAGGGTGGGCAGCGGGGAAAGCTTAGGAGGGCGTTTCCGATCGATGAGCTCCATCCCTCCGTCACTGTGTGCCGGATCCTCGTTGGGCGGCTCCCCCCCGGGCTCTGGTCACTCCACCCCCAGGCGCGTCCCCCGCAGCCCCAACAGAGAAATGGACCGCATGGGGGTCATGACCTTGGTAACAATTCCTGACTTTCGTTTGTTTTTTTGGATCCTTAAACTGATCAGCTTGTTGTAGGAAAATAACTTTTTCATAGTATTTCTTTCTGTCTTTATTTAAAGAGGGATTCACTATTATTTTTTTAAACCTGGGACCTTTATTAATATGTTTTGGCATCTGAGTGACGACAGGCTTTAATGGCAGCAACTGTTCCTTACAATGTGTCCTATCATTCCAGCGGACTTCTTTCTCTCTCACTTTCTCTGTCTTTCTGGTTGCATTCACACTACGCAAAGTTGTGAAGCCCGTTAAGTGGATGCTGTCAAAAACATTTTCTAAACTTTTCACCTGCTGTCATTAAGAAACCAAAGTATATTCAAATACGGATCAGGATTCTCCTCTTTAGTT